GTAGTTGCACGTTGTTGCTATAAGTAACACAACTAATTCTTTTAAGTTAACTTAGACTGTATAGTCTCATATCTATACATCCCTCGAATCTCTCTCGTTTCAGTACGTTCGATTCATTCATATATCCCTCTAGCCTAATGATATTTGGGGAGTCGGTCCGACGATCATTATCAACTCTTATCATAACTCGAAATATCACAATTATGACCAGTGTCATGTAATAATATCATGTGAAAATCGATCGATCATGTCTCTTATTCCAATATAGTTCATCATCATATAATTATCAGTCACATTATAACTTTAATTTATCATCTATTCTTTTAGAGTTCAATTGAGTTTTGAGATCCTTTAAATTCCTCTTTGTTTATTCTTAATTTCATCTTTATTTCGATATACTTTTGTTATTTTAACATTTTATCTATATCTTATAGACAAGATCAATATATTTTTTACCTTTATATATAATCATAATATATAAATTCTAATACTCATAAAAAATAATAAATATTATATTTGTAATATGTAGTAGTATTCAATTAAAAATGCATGCAGAACGAAAAATGTAAAAGTTTTAAAAGTTTTGTTATAGATAATGGTGGTTTTATACTAGTTTGTTAGAAAATGAGTTTGGATACAAAGAGAAAGAAAACAAGAACAATATAATCGAAAAACAAAAATAATAGATGGACCTATGTATGATCATCTAGGCGTGAATCCACTTTTCTAAAACGTTATTCCTTCCCCACCGAGCAAAGGAGAAACCCGAGAATACGTTCAGAAATATAAAGAAGATCAGCGACGATTGATTTGCTCGTCAAAAGTTATCTGAAATAGAAAAACCCAAGAATGAGAAAGAACAAGAAAAGATGGAGAAGAAGTAACAAGTTTCTTCAGCGAAATTGCTCTCAAATCTCTCAAAAATCATTTACATATCATATGTCTCGTATTAAGATGTCTAGGAATGTTTTTAATACTTCAAAAGTCGAAAGGTACAAAGAAAACGTAAGTTTTTTCCGAACGAACGCGATTTTTCGTTCATTTTGAACAACTCAGAAAAATTAGATGGGTCCCTCATTTTTCGAGCGGTCGCTCGTTTTTTCCAGTTTTGTTCATCAGAAAAAATAAGTTACCCACTCTTTTTTCGAGCGGTCGCTCGTTTTTCTCATTTTTTCATCAGAAAAAAACGAGCTACCTGCTCATTTTTCGAGTGGTCGCTCATTTGTCCCAGTTTTGTTCATCAGAAAAAACGAGTTACCTACAATATCTTCCAACTAATTCACGACATGTCTTTTACAAACATTTTACTCATCTACCATACTTATAATACGCGTGAAAAATGAATCTTTTGAGAGATTCTATAATCCACCAATCTAATAGAAAATAACTATCATAGTTTTCTTGTGATGTATTCTTAAACATATCTTAATTTTAATATTTTGTCCATATATTTTAGTCTTGATTATTATATTTTTATCTATAAGATTACGAGAATCATATTAATAAACTCTAAAATTAATAGAATTAATAAAGATTATACTCCTAATATGTAGTTTACATCTTGTAGTTCTCATTTAGACATAAATATAAAACACAAAAGGAAAATATATTAAAAGCTTTATAGTTTATTACGAGACATTATCAAAAATACATTTACTTTACTATTTTGACATAAATATAGTTATAATCAATAAAATCAAAATATGACTTCACTGAATATTATATCACATAAATCATATGGTTACAGTTGGAAATATGTATCTATTGAAGTAAAAATAGAAAAATAAGAGTATTTTTTATATAATGCCCAGTAATGGTGATTTTAATGCTAAATTCCTCTTTATATATTCTTAATTTCATCTTTATCTAAACTATCTTTATTTTTAATCTTTCATCAATATATATTTTTTAATCTTTTTATCTATTCGGTTACAATAATCATAATTATAAACTCTAACACGGAGAGAATTCAATAAATATTATACCCCTAATGTGTAATTTACATCTCCTAATGTGTAACTTACATCTTGAAGTATTCATTAAAAATACATATAGGACAAAAAAAAGGTTAAATATTAAAAACTTTGTAATAAGTAATGGTTGTTTTATACTAGATTCCTCTTTATCTTTATTAATTTCATCTTTATCTCGTTCTATCCTTATTTTAATATTTTGTCTATATATTTTTGTATTTTAGCTATTTTTAATATATTTTAATCTTTACCTCTAAGGCCACAACAACAATAATATACCATAAACTCTAACATTAATAATGATTAATAACACATTATACCATATATGTAACTTACATTTTGTAATAATTTAAAAATGTATATGGAACAAAAAAGGTAAAAATAAATAAAACCTTGTAATAGAAAATAGTATATTAGATTCGTCTTTATCTACTCTTATTTTCATATTTATCTCGATATATCTTGATATTTTATTTAATATCTTTTACTCTTTTAGATCAAATCAGTATATTTTTATGTTTATCTACAAAACTAAAATAACCATAATATTTATAAAACTATAATACTAATATAAAAATTATATTCCTAATGTGTAATTTACTCTTATAGTACTCAAATGAATAAATATATATAGACCAAAAAGGTAAATTAATATCTTTTACTCTTTTAGATCAAATCAGTATATTTTTATGTTTATCTACAAAACTAAAATAACCATAATATTTATAATTTTATAAAAAAAACCATAATATTTATAAAACTATAATACTAATATAAATATTATATTCCTAATGTGTAATTTACTCTTATAATACTCAAATGAATAAATATATATAGTCAAAAAAGGTAAATAAAAATTAAAAGGTTTTTATACTAGATTCATTGTTTCAATTTAGTCCATCTAAATCTATATAGGTATAATTGAATCTTATATATCGAAAATCCATGAAATAAGTATTTGTTATTCAATATCTTCAAATATAATATTTATTAAGTTATAAGGTATAATTGAATCTTATGTATCGATATAAAGAACACAAATATTCAAATTTAATTTCACCAAACACAAATCAAATTGTCTCTCACATCATAAAACCAAAACCTTTTTAAGCACCGACTGAATCACAAAAGGGTCAACGAGGAGTCTGAAGAGTAATGACGTGGGCCATTTTGGTCTTTCACACAGCCCAACAAACGGACCATGTTTTTGCCATGGGACATTCTGGACCGTTAAGATCCTCTCATCACTTCATTTGTGACCGTAGGATTAATCTTTTGGACCCCACACTGTTTCCTCATTTAGGCCACAGAACAAATGGTTTCCTTAATGGGGAAATTCTTTGTCATGCTTAATTAATTAGTGCTAAAGACAAAGATTAACTAAGACATGACAAACATTTATTAACATGTTTCGTGAATGCTTGTATGTAACGTATATAGACCGTATTTGTTTACATTTTAGCTCAAAAACATTCCCATATAGTAATTAAAAGAAGAAAGAAAAACATAAAGATTGCGTTACAATGCATTCCGAGGACCATCTTGTCTTTGCATGGCTGGGTCCCATCGAGATCGATGCTCATTGCTCATTTGTTCATAACTTGTGACATCATCATCACCCATCTGATCAAATTTTATTTTTCCAATCGTATATTTTCTAAAAATATATAAACCGTTATTTAGTGCTATTATATTCTCTTATATATATAATATACTTCAAAATCCATGGATTGCAAGTACTAGAATCCGTTTTTTTATATAGAAAAATAAAGGATACTTTCATAATATTTAATAAATACTACATGTATGATGTATTTTTGTATTTTTTTTTATAAATATCAAGAATAATTTCGTAAATTTTTTTGGTGAAGAATAATCCAAAACAGGGCTCAAGTTTGAATGAGAGAGCACTTTGTTCTTTAACTTTACCGTTTTGACACCACAATTGCTAATTTCATAATTTTTAAAAGTATCAATAATAATTTCATAATTTTAATAAATATTAAAGTTTTTTTTGTCGAAGATTCGACATTTGGGAATGGAAAATCTGACCTCGTATCAAAACTCATGAATATTGCATGTGGATTATTGATGTAGAATGATAAAATACACAAATAAGAAAGAAATAACTAAAGAAAAAAATGGAATTATTTTATTAGTACATATATTTTTTTTCTTATATTACAATGAAAATGACTCACATACTTATAGAAAAATTAACAAATAAAATAAAAAATAAGATATAACGAAAATAAATATCACACACAATATTTAACATAATATTCTTTTCATTATTATTTTCAATAATATCTTAATATCTATATTTTCCTCCAATCATATATATTTATTTTTTCATTTTAACATTTTCTCTCAATATTAACTTAAAAATAATAGAAAAGTTGATCTTGAAAAGATAATGCAATAAAAAATCCGTAGATATTTTTATCGTCTTTAGAAAAATATATAAACACCAAATTTGTTTTTTAGAGAATATTATCCATTTTCAAATCATTTTGTTTGACTTTGAAATTCTATCTTTTAACTATTTTTTTTATCATAACACATCGTTTGATCTTAGAATTTTTAGATTTGATTTCTTTTTGTCACAACACACTCGCTTGATTTTGGATTTTTACTTCTCTTTAAATGATTTGAATATATAAACATCCAAAAAAAATGAAAAATAAAAAATGTAGAGTAGATCGAACCAAACTTTGATACTATATAGAAAAATAAAATAAGAAAATAAATAAGAAAGAAAGAACAAATGAGAAAAAGAACAGAATTATTTTATTACTACATCTCTTCTTCTTCTTGCATTACAATAAAAATGACTGACATATTTATAGAAAAATAACAAATAAAATAAAAATATAAATATAATGGAAACAAATATTATACACAATAACATGATATTGTGTTCATCATTATTTTTTAAAATATCTCAAAATCTATATTTTTCTCCAATCACATATTTATTTTACTATTTCAGCAGTTGATACTCAATTTGTCTTACTGGAATTTTTAATTTTAGATAAATTTTCTATCAGAACATGAATCTTTCACCGTGCATAATAATATAACATATCTCATACGATATGACGTACGAAAGTTCGTGTATATTAACACAAGTTTCGTTAGAACGATCAAAACCCAATTACAAAAGTCGAAAATATAATCTTACTATCTAGATGTTCTCTCATAAATAAATACGATCCAAGTGTTCTCTCGTATACGTCTATTTCAATCTATTTTTTTATTTTATTTTTTTAAACTTATCTTTATTTATAACACCTGCGTTCATGTTTTCGATCCATATGTTGTCTTTATTTCAGTACATACATTCACTAGGCTTTGTGTCAACGTTTTATTTCACAATTCGTATTCCTATCTTTAGGACCATGCATGGTCAGGTACGTACGAGATTCAAACATGCTAAAATCCATGATTATGTTTTCGTTTTATTATGAGTAATTATAAGATGTCTTGTACAATATATAATGAGATATCAAAACCATGAATGACAATGAAGATTCTACAATATTATAATAATCAGCTTTCACGGAAAGTTGTTGTGATACTATATAATATTTATGATGAAAATATTAGTTATCCTTTTTTTTTTGTCTCGAAGGAAATCATTCATCTTTACGCTATAATTATTGGTAAAGGAGAAAATCCGTTTTGATTTCGAACTTAATTAATACGAAAGCCAAAACCATAAATAAATAAAATAAGTTTATACTTATAATTAATTGAGTAATTTTAATACGGAGAGTCTATCGAGAAAAAACTAAATTATATTATATCTTTATAAAAAAAACTAAATTGTATATTTAAACTCATTCAATTCTACTAGAAAACTATTAACCTAAAGTATATCTATAAGATATGATCAAAATATAACCATGTATTTTCTTAATAAAATTCTTTCCCAAAAAATAATAATAATCTTTTAAATTTGGAAATTTATTGATTGTATTATTAGCGAATGTGTGTGTATACGCGCGTGTGTATATATATATATATATGTATGTGCCTATAAATGTGTGTGTGTTTGGTGGCCCATTCATGTTGACACCGTACTTCATTGGTTCTAGCGACATGGGAAACGACATCGTTTTGGTGTCATTCCACGAAGAACCAACGAAACGTATGACATGAAAAAAAAAAAGATTTTTTTCCCCAAAACCTATTATTTACTTCAAAATTTTTGGTCGCTTTCTTTTTATTTTCCCTCAAAATTTTCCTCTTCGTTTCCCATTCCCAAGTAGGAGTCGCCGGATTATATCGTCATCGATCTTGTCTCAGAACTTCATCTCAACAGGAAATCCATATCAAAAACTCATCTTTCACTTCCTGTTTCGCGAGATTTGATCCGATGACTGTATCTTTTTCTCGCTGTTCAAGAACCCTAATCTGATCCAGGTTAGCTGTGTATCCCCTTGTCTCAGCCCAATTTCGTTTATCTTGCTGTAATTTTTCGAATTTATTTCTGGGTTTCTCCGATTTGGGATTTTCCGAACCGAATTCTTGTTTTTTCATCCGAGTTTCATAAATGTGCTAGATCGAGGCTTGGGATTTCGTTGCCGGGGCGTTGCATGAAGATTTGGTGTTTTCTCTGCTTCACCGAGGACGAGGGAGACGACGGAGACGGCGTGAAACTGGCACAATCGTCAGCGACGTTCATGGAGAACGACAACAACCACAACAACGAGGGTAACGATTTCGTAAATGACGGTGACAACAAAGGCGACGCAGGACAGGCCGCTGAGGGTTTGAATTCGATCGAAGACGACGAGGACGCACGTCTGTGGTTGAGCGGGGAGTTGATGGCGATGGAGGGCGGTGAGACCATAGCGGCGGAGATGGAGCGTCGGTGGACTTCTGGGGTTCGCTTGTTTCCATTGTTGGAGGGAGAGAGCAGCAGCTCCGCCGTCGCGAACGGTGCGGCAGAGATGGAGGATATCGACCATGATTCGTACCATAAGCGTGCCAGAGTGTATTCTGGGTTTGCGTGAGTTCGCTATCCCCTTTGTCTGGTTAGGGCTTCTTGTGAAATTGCATGGGTAGGTAGTGGATCTTGATGGGAAACGGGTGGAATTTGGGTTCTTTACTGTGATCTGGTCGTAAGTTCAACAGTTTCAGGATTTTGAACCAAGTTCAGCTTTTTTTAGTGGATTCTCTGGGTTCTTATGTGTTAAACATGGGTCGTGGAGTTTTTTTTGGGGATTTCTAGCATTCGGGCTGATAATTGCTCAGAGCAATTACGTAAAATTCCAGTGAGATATTGTGTTATTAACATTAGGGTTTATTGTGTTTCTTTCATATCGGTGTGAAATATTTTTAGGTATGTTTTCATGCGTTTCTTACGCTAAAGTTTCCTTGCAGCGAGGGTCAATTTACTTCGAGGATGCCTTCAGATGTTGGAAATTCTGGTCCACCAGTGGAGACAGGCTTTAGTTTTGGTAATTCGTCTTCTGCTCGTTCTGACAGTGAGATGTTCTGCCAGAACTTTATCATAAATAATGGTAGGAATGAGGCGAAGAAAGACCATGGAGATGGTGACGACGATTCTTCAGAAACAGATGACTTTGAAGTTCATATTGACTTGACAGATGACCTTTTGCATATGGTGTGTATAGCTTTCGAGATCTGTACTGTATGTTTAAACAAGATTATAGATTTTTGTATTTTATGTTTTGATTTCTTTTGTCCCTTTTCAGGTTTTCTCTTTCTTGAACCATGCTGACCTCTGTCGAGCTGCTAGGGTTTGTCGGCAGTGGAGAGCATCTAGTGCTCATGAAGATTTCTGGAGGCACTTGAATTTTGAAAATACGAGAATATCTCTAGAACAATGTAAGTTATACATGATTCCTTTCTATTTCTTTGTTTTGCAAAGATATAAACAGTAGTTAAGTTGTCGTAGAAACCATTGTAAAAATCAATTAGGAAACTATCTGTTGACTTTGTCATCTGGAAATATATCTGAAACCTCCGAGAAATTAGAGGTATGACAACGGAGTCATTGATTCTTGCATGTACGCTGCATGTTCTCTCGAGTATCACACAATTGTCAAATTGATAATTTGTGTGTGCATTCGTTCTACATTTATGATGATCGGAGATTTTCCATGTAAAACAAGTTCCAGAAATTAGAGGGTTGTTTTATTTTCATTTTAAGGGGCAATACCCTCGACTCCTTATGGTATCGAGGCATTACTGTGAGCCGTGAAAGGGAAAATCCCTCGACTCCTTATGGTATCGAGGCATTACTGTGAGCCGTGAAAGGGAAAATCGGGCGATGGGACCAACGTTTAAATTAGGCATTATTTATGATTTGTCCATCTTACCCTTCTTTTTTTGGTAGTGGTGTATTTCTTTTAGCCGTAAAAGGGAAAATCTTGCTTTAGGACCAAAATTCACAATAGGGCATAAGTTCAAATTAGGCATTTTGGATTATGATTTGACCCTAACCTTCATATTTTCCCCAAATTCACAAAATCTTTGGTTGAAAATGAGAAGGAAAAAATGGAAACATGGAATCGAGAGATATTAGTTATCTGATTTTCACCCATGTGTCATGTTTGAAAATATGTAATGGTGGTAACTACCACTATTTTCTACCTATGATATGGCAACATTATGATTATAAGCACAATCAATGACATCCATAGTAATCAACGTCACGTTGCATGTGGAGAAAAACGATAAAACCAACATGTTGATGTTGATGATGTTCCCTTAAATAAGTTGATTATAGATTATTATGGATTGTAGAAACAAATCATATAACATTTTTTAGCGATATCATTTTTCATGCATTCATAAACAAACATGTAATGCATTAAAACTAATATTTCTATAGTAAGTTTGCCTTTAATTTGATGAACAGCCCTATGTATTATAATCGATTAATTGCTTTGTTATGGGTTGTTTTTGTTATACTAATCCACATTCCTAGAGAGATTAGTATTATGCCGGTGAATAAGATAGAAAATAAACTTCGTGTTGATTGTTTTTTGTGTAGTTGAGAACATGTGCCGTCGCTATCCAAACGCCATTGAAGTAAATATTTATGGTGTTCCTGCAGTCAACACCCTGGCCATGAAAGCCGTTACTACCTTGAGGTATCTAGCTTCTCTTCTTACCTTAAGTAAGTTTCCTTCCCAGGAAATCTGGTTTGAAGCTATTCGTGCTAATGCATTTCTCATGTTGGTTTCAGGAATCTCGAGGTCTTAACTGTGGGAAAAGGTCATATAGGAGATACTTTTTTCCATGCATTGGAAGATTGTACTATGTTAAGAAGTGTGACTCTTAGTGATGCTATTCTGGGCAATGGTGCTCAGGAAATACACCTGAGCCATGATCGGTTGCATGATCTTAAGATTACAAAATGCCGTGTAATGCGTTTGTCTATCAGGTGAAATGATTTTTCCTCTAATTTATGTCCATTCTCATGTCTCGTTCATCTTGAGAAGTAATTCTCTAAAATTTATCATGCTTCCACCTTTTCAGGTGTCCACAGTTAAGGACATTGTCCTTAAAGAGGAGTAATATGTCACAAGCTCAGCTTAATTGTCCACTCCTCAATCTTCTCGATATAGCCTCATGTCACAAGCTTCTGGATGCTGCAATCCGCTCAGCGGCAACTTCATGTCCTCAATTAGAATCTCTGGATGTCTCGAACTGTTCCTGCGTCAGTGATGAAACACTGCGTGAAATAGCCCAGACTTGTGCTAACCTTCATGCCCTTAATGCTTCATACTGCCCCAATATCTCTCTCGAAGTGAGTTGGTCCGATTATTATAGTTAAATTTTGATGTTTCTTCCTTTTTTGCCCCATTATCATTGTCTCATTCTGGTTTTTTTTGGGACATGTGTACCCTTTTCCTCTTGGAAGTCGGTACGCCTTCCGATGTTAACAGTTCTCAAGCTTCATAGCTGTGAGGGTATAACATCAGCTTCAATGAATGCCATTGGTGATAGTCCTATGCTAGAGGTCTGTGACCACTTGCTTCGACATTCTTGTTCTATTATTTTGTGCCTTTTAAGTCTGACCAATATTCCATTTGAATATACCATATCTGTTGCAGGTTTTGGAACTGGATAATTGCAATCTATTGACATCTGTATCATTGCATCTTCCCCGTTTGCAGAGCATAAGTCTAGTCCATTGCCGCAAGTATGTTTCTCATTTTTTGGTTTCTTTACATCTAAGATAACGTTGCACTTATGATATTCGTGACTTCCCTTTTTTATCTGTTTTTTCTTTCACATGTTCTCTCGAAAATACCTTTTTCTTTCTACTGCAGATTTGTAGATTTGAACTTGCAAAGCACCATGCTCTCATCGGTAGCTGTGTCAAACTGTCCATCACTTCGTCGCATTACCATTGCTTCAAGTTCCCTTCAGGTATGTATCTAAGTTTCTTGATATCTCTTTTGTAATTGTCTTGCTTGGAGTGATGCATCTGAATTCCCTGTGATTTTTTTCCTCCCTGGTTGAATTGCAGAGATTGGCACTGCAAAAACAAGAGAATTTGACAACATTAGTTCTGCAATGCCAATCATTGCAGGAAGTGGACCTCTCTGATTGTGAATCATTATCTAATTCCGTTTGTGAAATATTCAATGATGACGGTGGATGCCCGATGCTGAAATCTTTAGTCCTCGACAATTGTGAGGTTTGTGATACAAGTTCAGTTCCTCAGTTTTCAACCTGCAAGTGTTGGACTTGCGTACAGCTAAATTGTACTGAGGAAGGATGTTCAAATGAATTTTGCTCGCATATAATTTGTTGCAATGCTAATCTTTTGTGTTCTTTTTTCCTCTGCTACTTTTGGATTTCGAGTCATTGATATTTTAACTGACTATTTGTTTTCCTTTAATTTTGTCAGAGCTTAACGGCTGTGCGATTCTGCAATTCCTCTTTAGTAAGCCTTTCCCTTGTTGGCTGTCGCACTGTTACTTCCCTTGAGCTGAATTGCCCTCGCCTTGAGCAAATTTGTTTGGAAGGTTGTGATCATCTTGAAAGTGCTTTCTTCCAGCCTGTGAGTGTTGGATCTTCCTTTTGTTACTATTAATATGATTTCCTATCATATAACTGAAAGTATCTTAACTCGTGAATGATTGGTATTAATATGCTTTTTTTTATGGTTATGAATAGGTTGCTCTTCGGTCTTTAAATCTGGGAATATGTCCGAAATTGAGCGTGCTTAATATTGAAGCTCCTTATATGGCGTCTCTTGAGTTGAAAGGTTGTGGTGTATTATCTGAAGCATCTATTATTTGTCCTCTCTTGACATCTTTGGATGCTTCCTTCTGCGGGTAAATTTTCCTTCTTGTTGGTTTCTATTTCTGGTGACAATGTTCATTGTGTTGATGCTAATTGACTTGGCCACGTTATCCACAGCCAACTCAAGGATGACTGTCTGTCTGCCACCGCTTCTTCCTGCCCGCTAATCGAGTCCTTGGTGTTGATGTCATGTCAATCTATTGGCTCTGATGGTCTGTACTCCTTGTGGGGGCTCCCGAATTTGACAGTTCTTGATTTATCGTACACTTTCTTGATGAATCTGGAGCCGGTTTTCAAATCCTGTTTTCGACTAAAGGTAATTAAGAAATTATAATCATACGCTGCTGGATATTTTCCGGTCTGTCATTGTTACAGCACTTTTTACTGCATGTGTAGTCTGGTTATTCCCGTAATCCTCTGTGATAAGCTTTTCTCTGTGGATCGTCATTTATGGTTTTGGGGCTTGATTTGGGATACTTTCATTGATTAGGTACTCAAATTACTAGCCTGCAAATATCTCACTGACTCATCATTGGAGCCATTATACAAACAAGGCGCTTTACCGGCACTTCAGGACCTGGACCTATCCTATGGAACTCTCTGTCAGACCGCAATAGAGGATCTACTCGCACGCTGTACACACTTGACCCATCTGAGCTTGAATGGTTGCGTTAACATGCACGACCTCGATTGGGATTCAGCCGATGTCCAGCTCGTTGATTACTTTGCCGTCTCCAGTTCTATTGGGCAGCTTCCCGATGAGAATGCTCGAGACCCGACTGGACCAGCCAACCGGTTACTGCAAACACTAAACTGTGTTGGTTGCTCTAATATTAGAAAAGTGTTGATCCCACCAGCAGCTCGGTTTTACCATTTGTCTTCGCTGAACCTTTCGCTGTCGGTCAATCTGAAGGAGGTCGATCTCGCCTGTTTGAACTTGGTTGTTCTTAATTTGAGGTATGAAGACTTGATATCAGTAATTTCCTTACCGGGCAACAATATCTGGTTGTTTAATTGTTGCCTTTCTAAACCTCTTGCCCAGCAATTGTTCCTCTCTGGAGATTCTGAAGCTTCGTTGTCCAAGATTAACTAGTCTCTTTCTGCAGGTATTCCTTTGACCTACATCTATATCAGTTCGACCCTTTTTTTATTTTTAACGGTTTGAGTTCATGCAAGATTTTCAAGAAATGAACCTGCAAATTTTTAGCCTTCTTTCTTTGAGGGAAGCCATTAAGGGAAGGGTATTAATGATAAATACAAATATCATTTTGTTGTTTGTCCTTGTGGAATCACTAGCTAATAAAGTGGTTGGCTTTGTGAAATAAGCTCAGTAGTATAAGCTGTGACCGCCATTAACTACCTTCTGGCAGATGAACTATTTCTGTTGTTGAAAGACACCCCTCTTTCCATATTTTCCTGTTGTTTCTAGTTATGAAATAAAAGCGGCATCTTTTACGATACTACTGTTAAACTGATCAATCTTGTGCTCTGTCCTTTTTTTTTGGTAGTCTTGTTACATAGACGAAGCAGGAGTTGAGTCGGCTATTTCACAGTGCAGCGCACTGGAGACACTGGACGTCCGTTTCTGTCCAAAGGTGAGAGTTTCTTCATGTGTTTGCTTTCGCGGACTTTTTCGCTGATCTGAATCTAAGACATGGATTTTCGGGTGGATAAACAGATATCCTCTGCGAGTATGGGGAAGTTCCGAGCAGCCTGCCCTAGTTTGAAGCGTATTTTTAGCAGCCCGACCCCTTTGCATGATTAGGTCAGAGCTTTTCTTGGTCCGGCGGCGAGACTGAAGCCGTTATTACTGGTGTCGGATTTGGCTGGCTTTTACTGTCTGTTGGGTTATACTTTGAACTACCACCCTCCTCCATTTGCCTTCATCTGCTCTGTTACGAAAGGCAAGAAAGAATCAAGGGATGGATTCTATGGCTCTTTGAATACAGGCTATGGCTATGTATGATATACTTCATATATATGTGTATATATATATATACATATATGTGTGAAAGATGGGTTCTTAGGGTTTTTTCCGGTTGTGGGTCAAACTCAAGTTGAAACCTTAAGGTAAGGATTAATGGGATTTTTGCGAACTTAAATGAGATATGAACTTCTCTGCTTTGTTTTGAGATCAGCAACTGTGTTGGTTTTACAAAAAAGGTCATTCAGGGATGGAACAATATATAAATATATTTAAAATTAACTAATTAGATATATTTTTTTTAAAAAAAATGATAGTTGAATTCCAGTTAAATTTATAAATTCTGTTTTTTAATGAAGATTTTTTTAAAAATTCAAAAATGACAATTCCTTGTGGCCGCACCCAAATGCGGGATTGATGCCTCAATCAACCCTATCACCAATCACGGCTCGGATGCCAAACGAAATACCTTCAAACCAGTGAGATATTGTACCATACCATACTTACGGTTTGGGTACCCGGACTTTTTTTTTCTCAAGACAAGTCACAGTCTCGGTGTTGCGATACCCGAACCCGTGGTACATAAGATAGAAATAGATGTCACCATACTAAACTAGTAGGAAAAATCCGAACCCGTGGTCCGAGTCCTAAACCATGCCGCACCCATCATCAATTTCGTTAGTGGTTGGATACGCGAAAACCCACGGGTTTCGAGTACCCACTCTTTATTAATGGCCGGACGGCGTGGGTCAGGTAACTAGGCCCGAGGTGTCTAAACGGTGCCAGGGACCGATGCTCTCTCCCTCCGTGGCTCGTGGGCTTTTGTTTTCTGTTTGGTGTTTGGTTGAATTTGTTGTGTGATTTTATGCCAACAGATTTATACATAGAAGCTCATGAATGAACCTGTTTGATTTATTTTATGCATAATATATATCAAATTAAATAATAGATTACTAACTATTAATTTTACAATAATCTTTTCAGAATTCAGAAGAGATGCGTTTCGAAAATACACACAGCAATTGGAAAATGCGTGTTTGGATTCGATTGGGCTTTGGTTCGAATTTCGATCAGGTTCGATTTTGTTTTTAAAAAAAAAACAAATAAGCATTTTTTCCAAACAAACTGAGTTTATATTAAATAATTTTTGTTATTTTTATATTCAGATTTAGAATTTGATATCATCGTAATAATATACAATTAGGATTATTCAGTTTAATTTAATCGCTTTTATAGCTATGAACCGAAATGACCATCGCTATAAGCAGTCATAATAAAAACTCTCTCAAAATAATATAATATGATTCTATTCATAACATATTTTAAAATCTGATTTTTTTATTTTTCTTTTACGTAATACGTAACATTACCAAACGCAATTGTTAAACAAAAAATGGGATAAACTAAGCAGATTAGTCATTTCATTTGTACTAATATTTAACTTATCCAACTGTTTTGAAATCGGTGGGGCTAGGACTGAATATTATCCATATGTTTTTGGAACGTTACTGTATATTATATTACGTAGTATCATGTTAAAGGAAATAAATTTATAACATAATGTTAAAATAACTTGGAAAACGTTAATATTACCGGTTGGATTATATTTGGGCTCATGAAAAATATTTATAAACTAAAAATATGAAATCAAATATTAAATTATTATAAATGGGATATCAAAGTATAGATGATGTTTTTGGATTCATTATGTAACCGAATTCGAATTAAATAATATATAATACACCTGAATCGAATCATTGTGAATTGGGTGATTGTAATTTTTAAAAATGGAAAATTTGAAATTTGAATCTAATATAAAGATAACCGAAAAAATAACAAAATGATTTTTTAAAAAATAAATAGCTTTATGAATAAAATCGAATTTAAAAATCTAAAATGAAACCAGATGAAAACACAACTCAATAAAACCTACCACAAGATTCGAATGTCATCATTTTTCTAAATACCCAAATAATGTATGTACGAATCTCTACACAAGGCCAAAATGGCTTCCGTAGAGGAAACTGTGCCTTGGGCGTTTCTTGAAACGCCAACTCCCAATTATTTCTGACAATTATTATTATTATTATTATTATTTATTTCCATATGGTTATTTCTCCCGTATGACCAATTATCTTCGGCCACGTCATCAATTATATTTGACATTGACCGCATTCATGTTTCATCTTTCGCCTTTACCCCCATTTTGATGTGTGCGTGAGTGTATATATATATGTATATATAATTCTCTAACATATTTCTTTTTTAATAAATCTGAAATAATATTACGAAAAAGTTTTTGAACAGTATTGTAAAACTATCTATTTTTTTTAAAATATCTATTTTTCGTTTGAAACAATACAAGACAGTTTGATAATGTTTACTTTATCCCTAACTTTCAAACAAATCATTCATTTTTAAGATATGTATAATTCGTTTTCAATATCTATATATATATATATATATATATATCATAAGTTCACATCAAGCACTTTGAGATGTAAAATAAATAAACAAAAAAACAAAAGGGGGTCCCACCATTGGGAAGAGGAGGGACACATATGTCGTTAACTTATTCATTTACTTTGGTACAAATTTGTGTTGCAAAATGAACGAACCACATATTCCTCTCCTCATAAATTTTTCTTGTTGAGATTTCCCCTTTTACATAAACATTTAGCTTTCATTATTGGAATCTCATTTAATATATAGATAAATGTGAGCAAGAAATGCTGATGCAATCTGAGATGCATGTTCACTTACTCGCACAAAAACGCATCAGCTTCATCAATGAAGAGCAATAAGCCTCTCTTAGACTTTTTGGCCCAATCGAAAAGTTGGTGTATCTTTGTTACTGCCTGAGGTCCAAGCGGCGCAACATCCCCACCAGTCATCAGTGCATAGTCCAAACCCTGCATATGGTATAAATACATACGTTAGAATGAAATGAAAAAGGAAAACAAAACCATATGTTTATGCAATTCATAAACCGAGATTTTACATTTTCACGTGCTCTTTTAAAGGTATTTGTCTTGTATCTCTCTGAATTGTTACCCTCTCTCTCTCTCTCTGTTCTTTATTGTGTTGGGGCCACGGTGGGGAATGAGTGGAGTTCATGATTTATTTTGTTACCCAATTTAATCAGTTTGATTGGTACGACGAAAAATGATTATAAGTTTGATTCTTCGATGTTATTATATTATTCACCAACTTAGGCACGAGGTTAAACTTTATTTCAAATAATTTTCCAAACATGGGGATATTTAATTCATTTCCGTTTTTTTTTTTGTTGTAATATCATTTACTACCCATCGTTATATTAGAACAAGACATTGTGAAGCTAGTGATACAGAATATGGATAATAATAAACGGAGAAATAAGAATATTTCTTTACAATAAAGTATACTGTTACATATAATTTATATTAAAAACCCTAATAGTGCTTTACTATATTAAAAAATTGTAAATTGGAATTCTATTTATGTTCAAAATGACGTAAAAATCATTTTATAATATCGGATAAAAAAGAGTAGTATAAAATCCAATGAAAAATGTAAAATATAATTTTATCAATATTTTGAACATACAGCGTGAATCATATACAAGATATCACAACAAAAATAAAATAAGCTAATCATTTTTATTTTTTTTATGTAACATTTTTTATGATGTGTCGTTGATATGGATTTGACAAAACGTTGATCGATTTTCAATATATTAACAAAAAATAAAAAATCTTATAATTCCTTGTATTATATATATTAACCCAAAAATGGTGTTTTCTATTGAAATATCAAAAGTTCATGTGTTTTTTTTTAAATAATTTATAAATTAATATGGATTTTCCTTTTGTGTTTTGGCATGGATGGATTCTCTAATATACATATATTATATATTTCTTTTTTTTATATATATATGCAAACATAAAAAAAATTATCTATGGAATGAGAAGATGGGCCTCACGAAACTAACCGCACGCATTAAATGGTGCTCGTGATTTCGAACAAATATCATCAACCTCTAACGCTTCACACGTGATTTCTGGGTCCACCAAAAATATTGCACATATATTTTATAATATATACATTTTTAAATAAAAAAATCAGCAAATGATTATCATTGTGGACCCTCTTCCACGTCGACCTTTGTACTTTTTTGTTGTTATTCGATGTGAAAATATTCCACTGCCATTTATATGTTGGATATGTTGAAAGTGGAAAAGAGAGGGAAAAACGAACTTATTAATTAGCAGATCAAAATCCCCTTTTCCACCATCTCTAACAATTCGGCATCTATTATAATTGCTCACTTTTTTTGTCTTATATATATATATATATACACACACTTCCAAGGTTCCATAATAGAATCACTAAATGAAATGAACCGACCGCATGCTGAAAACATCTTACGTCTGATTATTTTAGGTAGGGTTATCATTTCGTTCGAATCCATAATAAAAATCAAATAGATATACTGTTTCTTAATATAAAAAAATGTAACTCAAACTCTAATTGAGTATGGAAATAATCCAACAAACTGGATAATACCAAAAAAATTTGAACATTTTATTCAATAAAACTCGAATAGAGTTTGAAAACCGAACCATTCCAACATTAAAAAAATAGGTATGATTTTCTAAAATAGAAAATCTCAAACCGAATCCATCCCTAGTTTTAGATCCATGTTTTTCTCGTTTCATTCCTTAGCTTTTCCTTTCTTTATTTTTTTTTGGTGAGATGAGATGCGTGCTTTTGAACATAAAACCCTAATACGAAGAATCAATGATCTCCTCTAGGGCATCATAGAGGAAATCAAACTTGGTTTCTCAAGATCCGACGAGGTAATTGGATATATATATATATATATATATATAGCTTATTTTCTATTAGGTTATTGAAGTACACTTCTTTTTTTGTTAACTGTTATTGAAGTACACTGACCTAATAATGAAGCGTGGATGGCTATATATATATAGCTTATTTTCGCTGGCTTTCACTACGTTGGGTTTTTGTGGTTCGGCAAAATTAGGGCTTGACCTTTACATATGCATGCTGCATGCATTGTTCCATAAAACCCTAATTTGTTAGTTAGGGTTTGACCCTTTATTTATACATTGTTTTTTTTTTTATAACCAGGATGGTTCTTCGGACCTTCGGCCCAACTACATCCACCCTAGACCCGGGATCAACCTTTGTATATGGACCATTTTAGT